ACGTATATAGAACCAACGCGTCCGTAGACCCCTCTTAACACCGAATTCCGTCCACCGAACACCCCTTTACCGGGCCCGCTCACCTCAAACGAACAAAATGGTAATACTCGAGTATACCCGGAATCAAGGGTCTCAATACCCAAAATTCCCGAACAGACTACCGTGGTTCGTTATCTAATCGTCCAGGCCCTTGCCGGCCCGAATCGAATAACTTAGCCACAGGACTGAGCTCATAGGTCATAGAAATCCAAACAGATGCAGACACAGATAACAGATTCAAATTTTGCATAGTAAATTGGCATATGAACAGACAAGAGAACGAGTGTGATAAAGTACACCCTCGTCTCAAACAAATAAACAGATTGCAGAGCAGAAATCAAGTTAAACAGCAATGGAGGGGAGTGGTACACTCACCGGCTCAACTTCAAAAGTTTTTTACTTCAGATTGGCCTTAATCGCCAAGAAACCCTAAAATAATCAAAATAAACCAATTGAAGGTTTCACATCCATAATCGAATAAACGGAATGCACAAATGAGGCTCGGCTACACGTCGTACACCTTGCCAAAGAAATACTAATGCAAGGGTGGAAAACATGATTTTCTTGGAAACGAAAAGGTAACATGAAGACTTAGGCGCAAACAACCCAAAAGCCTTTCATTTCCACTAAAAGGCAAATCCAACTTAAAGGAACCAAACGGCCTAGAAAATCGGGCAGCACCTCCCCTAAAATTCTTACTTTTCCAGCCATTAAGGCTTCATTATTTCCTCAAATCAGTCCCAACGTTTCACACAAAAGTCATCTCATTTACCAAAAGCCGTTCCCTAGGCTCAAAGTAGTACAAGTACAAAAGTTAGTTAGGAAATGACCGGAATGAGAGCGAGCCCTAAAACATGCAAACAAGTACATGGAGACTCGATAACGAGTCATAAACCAATGCCAATTATGACCCCAATAGGGTTCCATGAACATATACAAACATTAGAGCAAACCAGAAAATTCGGAAATGCAATTAGCTTTGGCCTTGAAAAACAGTTTTTGACCTCTTTTTGCGGTAATGGCACCAAATCCCCTATGATTATCGGATGAAGGTGTAAGACCCACCATCTCGAAGCTAAAAGACAGGGCTACAACAATGTAGAAGGCCACTCAGTCCAAATCCTAGCACAACTAGGTCAAAAATGCAGAATACCAAACCAGAACCGTAATTGCAGGTTTACAAATCACACTATGCTGTAATTAGTCCAACTCAGTCTATACAGGTCCAAATGCATCGATTCCAAAGGCATGCAGTAGCCAAGACATCCATCTACATTTCATCAGAAGACACCAACATCCAAATCCCAAGCAATTCCAGTCAAAACAGACGATTACAAGCGTAGTTCGTACATTCTGATCAACCCAGAACAGCAACAGTAAAATCGACATATCTCACTCTACACTACTCCAAATGATCTGAACTTTTACAGGCACCTCTAAAATGTCATTCCCTACAAATTTCATGTTTTAAGTCAAGGCCAATTCGGCCTCTAACTAGGTACTAAAAATTCGGACAGATTGTGCAACCCAAGAACCCTAACTTGCTGAAATTTTTCCCAAACCAGAAATTGGTTGCAATTGTTCACTTTTCCCACCTCCTTAAGTCATTATATACCATTTCTAATCATCCTAGATAGCCACACAATCATGCTTATATTAAAACAGAAAAATCCCCAAAAATAATAAAACTTCATCATTTCAACCACAAATCAAGAATTAATCCATAAAATTGCCTCTTATGCCACTACTAAACATAAATTAAACATCATTAGAGGGAGGAAAGGGGTTCATCCACCATTCACCTTAGTAAAACAAGAGGGAGAGCAACTTGTCACCTTAAGCTTCCAAACAACTTCACCAAACAATTCACTATCACTAAATGAAGAGGTTTTATGGAGTAGAAACAAGTTTAGAAGGTTGGATGGTTTGATTGAAGCAAGATGAAAGCCAAAACTTGAAGAGTTTTTCTCTCTTTTGAAGCTCAAGAAAGTCGGCCAAGAGGAAGACAAGAATAAGAGATTTTTGGTGAATTTTTAAGATATTTAAGTCAATTGGTAAGACATGCAATAGTAGTCAAATGGTCCAACCAATAGCCACGTGACACTTGTCACTTAATTAATGCAAGTCTATCACTTTTGTCTCTCTTATACCAATCCAAATAACATCCTCTACTTATCTCTTAACACCCGGTAAATTAAATCCAGTATCCAAAACTTAACCTAGTTGGCCGAAAATTTCCGAACTTTTCGCCCTAGTGGGTCCCACGTCCGATATACGTTCTTAATTTCTCAAAACCTATTCGATACTAGAAAAAATCATTTAAAAACCATATTTACTCATAAAATTTATCTAGAAAATTTTCCGGATACAGAAAGTGCAGAAAACAAGCCATGGAAAAAACGAAAACCTAGAAAATGCAAATTACGGGTTCTCACATTTGTCCTACACACGGTTTCTGGAGAAAGGAAAAAATTTCCTGACAGTTTATTTGTTGATTGATTCAGTCCTGAATCTGGTGAATTAAGGTGACAATTATTCTGATATATGATTGAAATCTTTATCACACTATGAAAAATGTTTCAAAAAAATGTGAAAATTGTGGAAAGAGTTGAGGATTTGAATATCTAGATTCTGAAAGTCGTTAGGGAACCTTTCTTCATCTTGGTGAATGTTTAAATACTTTACAGGTAAGTAGTGTAGTTTTATTTTTTTCCCTCATTTTTAATGATATCCTTTGCTTTTGGTAGTGCTCAATAATGTAGGTGCAACTATACGTTCAGATTAAATAGACAAGAATTTGGAAATTTAGGTAACATCAAAATAACTGTTATGTGATAGAGCAATTAAACAATTAGGTTTCTTGACTGCACATTTCTATTTGAATCTAAATGTTTTACCGTTTGCTTTTGCCTTTTGATTTGCCTACTTGATGCTGTTTACAATTTGCTTAATAAAGGGATCATGCTAAGTTTGGATGCTGATGTAGCGAAGCAGAATTCAAAGGGTGTTAAATTTAGTGGATCTGTAAAATGAAGAATGACAGCATTTAATGGAACACCTTGCAGTTTTGTAGTTAATGATGCTAAAAAAAGAAGAAAATTTTCACCCTCTCCCCCCATGACATGCTTTTGTTTGGCAGAATTTCTAGAAAAAGAATGAGAAGGTCAAGTTCAAGTGCTGAGGGGAAAAAAGGAGGAAAATTACAAAATGAGAATCTTTGTCGCAATGGTGAAATGACTAGGTTACCTTTTGTACAATAGAAGTTACCCTTTTTTTTTATTTTTTTTTTGGGGGGAAGGTAGTTTCCAACTCTTATATACCAGTATGTACCAATAAATATGCATTTTACACATGGCTGCCCCTCTTGGTTTGTCAATTTAAGTTTCCTTTTTTTTAGCCAAAAAGGTATTCCATGACTTTGATATCGTTCAAGTGCTTCTTCCCTGTTTAACATATTCTTAATCTTGGGATTTTACAGAAATGTGCGATAATGTTGGACAGCCTGGGATGCCAAGACAGCCATCTAACTCACAGCCAAATCCATTTGGGAGTTCATTCTTTGCAGGATTGTCTTTTGCTTATCAGCTTTTGTATCTACTAGATGCTACTGGGTTCTACTCTTTAGGATTACACGTTCTTGGAATTCATGTTTGTCGAGCTACAGGGCAGGAGCTGGTACTTATTCTAGTTATGTGTCATGTGGACTGATCTATTAGATCTACTGTCGTTCTTCTTGTCTGTGGACTATCTTTCCTATCTATATCAGTTTACAACTTGGTAATCTATACTCATATAGGATCTTGCATGGAAATTCATGCATATTTCCAAACCATTAATGTTGATAAAAAATATTTATTCTTAATGATCTATAGAGGCCCTTCAAAATGAAGTCTCTTGATGAATTTACCTCTTCCTCCATCAGCCATGGTATTCATGTCTTCCATTGCCCAGTGAGTAACGGTATCATTAATGACATTGAAATGGTTTTTCATTTTTTAGTTGGATTAGGCCAAATGAGGTATAAAGATGGAATTTTTAATTCTTTGATTTTGTTTTCGGTGTGTGAAAATTGTAGGATGAGTTGGGAATAGTTGCAAAGCTATCAAAATGTATTGCTTCAATAGGTGGAAACATTCTCAATGCTGATGTTTTTGTGCCTGAGGACAAGAATGTGTTTTACTCTATAAGGTCTATTACACTGCCTTGCACTTTGTTTCTTGGTACATTTTTCTATGGCAAGTTAATAAGTTGGTTTTGTCCTTTCTTCTTATTCTTTTCTGGATTATCTGGCTTATGTTTGAGGTACTGTGAAGTGGGTTTAGGCTAGATGTTGAGAGTTATGGTCCCTTTTGTGATTTATTCTTCAATGGCAGATATCGTAATGATTGCTGTTGGTGTTCATCTAAATGATTTTGGATTTACAATCATAAGGTCAATAGAGTGAGATTTTTTCCCAGCATCCTTCAAAGACTTGGTTGATTGACATTTAGAATTCTAGAATATTTTTCTGTTTCTTCATGTCATCTACCATTTTGATCTTCAGTTCAAATGTCTTTTGCTTTAATACAACAGAGTAGAACATTGGAATCACTGCATTTGCTGCTTCTAATGTTTTTTGGTTGTCATATGCTTGTGCTTTGACATACCAGAGTAGCATTATTCAATTACACATTGCAATGGCTGTATTTCAAAACTTCAGTTGATTTCTGCAGGTTCTTTCTGGAAACTTCTTAAAAAGTTATGGATAAGCTGTTATTAATATTCATCATGGCTTATTGCCTTCTTTCAAGGGTGGTCATCAAGCTAAACAAGTTTTTTTTAAGCCTTTTTGAAATGCTTGTTTTAATCATTATCCTTTACTTCTTTTTGGTAGATTGTAACCTGGCATTCACAATTTGCAGACATTTGATGTTGGCGTCAAATTAATTGGTGCACCAAGTCACTTTGTTACTAAAAAACTTGACTTGGCTAGGTTCAAGACTTGACAAGGTTTATGGGTGCACAATTGCAGGTCTGTTGTCTCTATATATCTCACAGAGTCACAGGCTAACAAATAATTGCTATCATTCATGCTCATTTTAATTCATTTCGAAAACAGAGACTGGTTTCTTTTTCTTTTCCCGGTGATTATAGTATCTAATAAGAGCATTTCCACACATGTCCTTCCAAGATGTTAGTTGAATTTCATTATTTTACTACTTTTCTAGATGTACAGGCATGCATTTCATAGCGTTCTATTTTTCTTTTTTTTTTTTAATTAAGTGTATATTGGATAGGTTGAAGATTACATCTGCAAGTTAGCACAGAGGGGAACGACAACACTCAGAATGGTGTTTCGTGTGACTCGAGGTATGGCATAGTTTAAAATTGTTACTTGTTGGGAAAAAACCAACATCATCTTCATTGTTGCATTTCTATTGTTGTTGTTAAAGCTTTTATAATAACATAGGGAGTTTTTTGGACTAGCAGAACTTGCACATGAGATTCCTCTCTACCATCAAGAAAGCAAGAAGCTCTCTCCCAATTGGAAATAGTATGCCCTGTCATCCCCCGTTCTCCCTGTCATTTTTTCTTTTGCAAGCGTGTTTTTTCTCTAAATATCTCTCTGGTTATTTGGTGGAGAAAATGCAACATAGGTTGTCAGTTTATAAGTACGCCTTCTTTTGCAACCTAAGCATATTATTAGGCTATAGTGTTCCCTGTCACTGTTTGGTAGACTATATTTATATACTTGTAAAAAAAAAAGATAATCTATTCTGTTTAAATTTCCATGAAGATTGGACACCGCAGGCAATCATTTTGAAATACTTGATGATGATCTCTTTCTCTCATGTCAAATAGCAATTTTTGGATATTCTATTCTTCTACTTATTCCAGACATACAAACATTGACATCTCAAGACAGCACTTAATTAGACTAATAAGTTGTAGTGAGTCAATTGTTTTTCTAATATCCTTGTTTTCGATTCGTCTGGCGATTCTTCCCCTGAATCTTCTTATGTTGTTTTTGTTATTTGTTTAGTTGCATGATACTACCTTGTGTAAAGACTTGCGTGACGAGTTTCATGTTGTTGCCTGTGGTGCTCAATTACAATTCTTGATAAATTGTTATTTTTCTTTTTTCTTTGTTTTTATCTATTTTAGTAATTAATTTGTGATTGACAAGCTAGCTTGCTTTGCAGTTTCTGCTGAATTATAAAACTGTGCCTAAAATTCTTCCTTTTTTACTCAGTAAAAAGTTCTTATCTTTTCAGGTTGGCATATTGACCGGTAGCAGGTGAGTCATTAATCTCTCTTGGGGCCAAGCGAGGTTTGATTCCTCTTGCTGTACCTGTCAGAAAACACCTCAGGTGTGAATAAGGCTTGTGTTTGAGTTAAAAAGTCAAAAAAAAATATATTGATTTGAGACCAATATTCTATCTTTACACATTGCTTGTTGTGTATATGTTCTGTAACTACTTTCCTACGATGGCCTACTGCCCCAACTGGGTAAACTAATTCAAATATTCTTAGTTGAGATGTTCTTCTTAGATTGTTTGATCTCAATTTGTAGCATCCTCAGGATGCCAATGCCTGTGATACAAGTACAGAAGCACAGGATATGGCTTCTAGCCAAGAATGTAAGTCTTAAGATGTTACGCATCCTCAATTGGGGACAGTATGTTGCTTTACATTGTTATTGTCGTATTCATTACCTTTAAGATTGCATATATTGTACTTCCCTTCATTTGCTTTGTTATCTGCATTGTGTTGTTTTAGTTCACATATCTCTTTCACTTTTTGGCAGCGTGTGCTTTAGTGTGTTTACACCTTCTGTTGTTTACAGGTTGCTTTGGATGAAGCAACTTTCTTGTTGGATTTGGCTTCTGTGGAAGGCACCTGGGATGACAATTTGGACCGGATTGCTGAATGTTATCAGGAAGCTGGGCTCCATGAAATTGCCAAATTTGTGCTATACAGAAATTGAACTGAAGTTGATTTTGGCATATGCTTATCTTGCTTTCATGTACATTTCCAATTTTGTAATCTGCTGCCGCCTACAATTATGGAATTATGTCTGAAGATGATATTTTGGATTATGTTATGACATTGATTATAACATTCAATTGAATTCAAGACCAAGTTTCTGTGCCTTCCCAATCACCTGCACAAGCAGGCCTTTAGCTCTGCGTTCTGTAAAAATCCTAAAATCGCTTATAGAGAGCATTCTCTCTCTCTCTCTCTCTCTCCAATGACCAACTTAAGATTTGAATACTCTTTTCGATGAATGCTCTATCCTTGTAAGTTCTATGTGTTGAACATAGATGATCTAGATAATTCCTCCTCTCAAAATTGCTGTATTCTTGGTATAATAAAAAAATTTAATTCTAATTCAATTGAAATGTATTCTTTTGAATTTATATACAATAGAAGAAACAAAGAGGCATCCACCATCTCTCTCACATAGATATGCAAGGCACAAATCACACTGTAGTATTCTAGCCAAAAAAAATTAAACCAATTTTCACTGTTACTGGATTCCGCACTTCAATTTTAGCATTAGTTCACAGCTTCTTTAGCAATCCTCCACTTCCTTTTCTTACTGGGAACGATAGCCAAAGAACCAATCTCAGCTTATCCTTTGAATAATTATCACCATTTCTGTGAGGCCCCAGTTCGTTCTACGTTGATATATTCATTAATTGGGCGGTAACGTTTGGTTTTGGGAGTATTTCGAAAACCCTAAGTAGGGATTAAGATTTAAACCCTCAGTTCCGGTTAAGATTGAAAACCCGTTTTCCTACATTTTCTTTATTAGAAAATTCCCCAGATAATTTTTATTGAGTAACTAGAGTTTTTAGATGATTTTTCTAGTATTAGTTAGTTTTTGAGAAATTAAGAACGTATATCGGACGTGGGACCCACTAGTGCGAAAAGTTCGGAAAAATTCGGCCAATAAGGTTAAGTTTCGGATACTGTGTAAAATTTATCGGGTGTTAAGAGATAAGTAGTGTGTGTGAAGTGAGTGATGTGAGAGAGAAAAGGAAGATAAGAATGCATTAATGAGTGTGACAAGTGTCACAATATGATTGGTTGGACTTTAAGAATTACTATTCACAATTTTGACTTTTTTGACCAAAGGTTAAATATCTCAAAAATCATTCAAAATTCACCATTTTTCTCTCCTTGGTGGCCGGCTCTCTAAGCTCAAAGAAGGGAGGAAATTTTCCATCTCTCAAGCTTCCATAAGCTTCAATCTTCCATAAACAAAAGCTTAGACTAGATTTCACTCCATAAAATCTTATCTTCTAGTGCTAGTAAGGGTTGTGGTGAAGTTTGTTTGAAGGTCTAAGGTGCCCAACATCTTCCTCTCTCTTGGTTCTTGGTAAGTGAAGCTTGAAACACCCTACTACACCTAATGATGCTTATGTTGTGCTTATTAGTGATAAGAGTGCTGAAATTTCTGGTTTTTATCTTGGTTTGAAATGATTTGGTGAAGTTTTTCTATTTTTGAGGAATTTTCTGGTTTAATATGATTTTGATGTTGGGGACTTGTATGATGAATTGTAATGGTGGAAAATGACTCTAGTGAGTGTGAATTGTTGATAAATGCAATCAATTTTGGATTTGGATGGAAAAATGGAAAGTTAGGGTTCATGAACCCCCAATTCTGTCCGGTTTTAGATCATAGGGTTAGAGGCCGAATTGGACTTTTCTCAAAACATGAAAGTTGTAGGTATTGATGTGTTTGAGGTGCCTGTAAAATTTCAGGTCATTTGGATTAGTGTAGTGTGAGTTATGTCGAAATTACTGTAGCTGTTCTGCTTTGGCCAGAATGCGAAAACTGCGTTTGTATTTGCTATTTTGACTGGAATTGGTTGGGATTTTGAAGTTGGTGTCTTCTGATGAAATGTAGCTGGATGTCTTAGCTAACATATGCCTTTGGAATTTCGGCATTTGGACTTGTATAGACTGAGTTATACCGATTACAGTTTTATTGGTTTTGCAAACCTGTTTTGGTAATTCTGGTTTCGTATTTTGCATATTTGAACTAGTTGTGCTAGGATTTGGACTGAGTGGCCTTCTACATTGTTGTACTCCTGTTTCTTAGCTTCGAAACGGTGGGTCTTACACCCCCATCCGATAACCGTAGTGAATTTGGTGCCATTACCGCATATTGAGGTCAAATACGGTTTGTGATTCTAGTACGTTTTTGGAAAGTTTATGGCTGGAACTTTGGCTTCACATTTGACTGAGTTACAAGCTGTTTGGGCTTCTGACCAAAACACCAAACTTATAGCCCTATATCAGAGCTTTCTAAACGCCACTTGGAATTTCATGCAATCGGATTTATAAAACCTGAGATAATAGCGCAGCAATCAAGGCCTGCCCTGAAAAATGACCAGAAATCTGTTTTGTCCTGATGACCAATTTCCGGTCCGAATTTGGATTGCCGACCTTCAGTGAAAGGTGTTCCATTGGAATGAACTATATTAACTGCCAATTTTCAGCTCTTTTGACCATGTAGTAGCATAGAAAAACAGTCGCTATTCAAAACTGACATTTGCTGCATTGGCCCAGATTTCGTAAGTGATTGTGTTTGGTTCATTGGCCGACTGAAGCCTCCAGTTGTTCAGTTTCTGATGTCTTCACTAATCAGTTGTTGTTCATCCTTTAAGCTTTCGATTTGGTCATCTCATCCGCCTTAAATCCGATATTCGTTAGCCTCAACTTATGGCAGTGAACTAGGAAATGAGGTATCAAATCCTGCCGTTTGCCGTTTCCGCACGCCGTGCTGTGTGCCCTTTCCGTACTGGCGCTATGTGCCGATGTTGCTTGTTTTATTTGTTTGGCCACCAGTTAGTGGCCGTATTATGACATCATGTGATGCAATCTTTCTATTTCAGAGCGTGGTGAGCTAGGCGGAGCTGCGCTGGCGCCTACTAGCGAACACGCACGGAAGTGATTTTCACATTTGTACTACTTTTGTACTTTGATGTAAGTATTCAGGCGTTTGGTGTGTTTCTTGCTGTGTGTTTGCAGATATGTGTGAAAAGGGTCACTTAGGCAGAGGGTGTACTTTATCGGCACTCGACCTAAACCCTATTTGAATGTATAATTGTACTTGGCATATGTATATGAACCTTTTGGCCAACCCAAACCCTTGGCTTGGGCTCGGGTGCGGACTTCGATAAGTTTTGTGAAGTTTGCCAAAGTTTGTGATTTTGAATAATTTGTTGAAGTTTTGTGAGTTTGCGGGCGACTCGTTGACCTGGTTGGATATTCGAGCGGTTAGGGCTTGGTCGAAGGCAGTCCACCTTAGTCTGAGGTACCAAGTTTGTAGGTTTCATTTTATGAAACCCAATTTTGTGAATCCGGTTCACGAGATGAAACGTGACCAAGTTTTTGTTGACCCGAGCTTGTGACTCAAGCTCAAAGTTTTGTTTCGTTCGGCCGGGCAAGTTTGTGAGGTGACTGGCCACGTGAGGAGTGATAAGGTGTCGGTGGGTGGGCTACAGTGAAGTTCTACGGCTATTATTTGCAGTCGACGGACC